ATACGTCAATAGTTAAGAATCTTCGAGACCCAAGTCCAATTCTTGGAGTTGAAACCCTTTGAATCTTCAAGGTCTTAGAACAAAGTCTCCAAAACCCTCTAAAACTTAAACTCTCCGAAAACTGTAAAAAGTTCGAATAATAGAAGTGATATTTTTTTTACTAGAAATTAAAACAAGTATTTATAGTGTTTGAAAATTTGTACTACGGAGGACCATTCATTGTAGTTAGTCGGGATCACTGATACTCTCGACGATTCGCCTTTTGGTCAATTTCATCGCCTTCCTACTTTAGCCTTCAGCATCTTTGTGTTTTGAGTCATTGGGCGATATGCTACTGCTTCGCACAACTGATCGGCGATGCGCCGACTGCTCTATTTCATCGCCAACTTGACCTTTTCCTTCAGGGCTCAGAACAATGAAACAAAAGTTGATCTCCAGGCCCATCGGTGACTCGCCAACTAGGCTTGGCGATCTTCAGGACTTCATTTCTTCGTTCTTTTCAGTCGCCTTGTTCCTTTTTGCCAAGTAGTGTCCATGCTTTGCCTCAAACTCTAAATAATTGAAACTTAAGGATTTTCATCAGATATTGAGACAAAATATGCATTTGAGGACATTAATTCTATCAAAATATATCCCTAAATGAGTCCAAATTGTTAGCACATCAGGAGGCACTTAATATGGATTGTATTACTTGGTTACCTCGATCGCGGTGTAAGTTTGATTCTATTTGGGTAATTGTTGATAGGTTAACAAAATCTGCCCACTTCTTACCGGTCAAGATTACTTTTACAGTTGAATACTATGTAGGGCTTTACATCTGAGAGATTTTTAGGTTGCACGGCATCCCAATATTTATTATCTCGGATAGAGAAGCACAATTTACTGATAACTTCTAGAAGTCTTTCCAGAAAAGATTAGGGGCGCAAGTTAATCTCAGTACAAACTTTCACCCTCAAATGGATGGCCAAGCTGAAGACACAATATTAATACTTGAGGACCTTCTACGGGCATGCATGTTGAACTTTAATAGAAGTTGGGATGACCACTTACCTCTTATTGAGTTTGCATATAACAATAGCTATCAATATAGCATCAAGATGGCACCTTCTGAGGCTATGTACGGTCGGAAATGTAGATCCCCTATTGGCTAGTTTGAGGTAGGTGAGTCAGGGTTCACTGGACCCAACCTGGTACAACAGACAATGGAGCAGGTTAAGCTCATTCGAGAACGTTTATTAACTGCTCAAAGTCACCAAAAGTCATACTCAGATGTGCGGCGAAGAGATTTAGAGTTTTGTGTTGATGACTGGGAATTCTTAAAAGTCTCACCTATGAAGGGTGTTATGAGATGTGGAAAAAAGGGAAACCTTAGTCCAAGATTCATTGAGCCATATCGAATCGTTCGAATGGTCGGACATGTGGCTTATGAGTTAGATTTTCCATCGGGGCTAGAATCGATTCATTCGGTCTTCCATATATCAATGCTACGAAAGTGCATAGGAGACCCTTCTCGGGCTGTCCCTGTTGAGGATGTTCAAATCACAAAGGAGTTGTCATGTGAGGAAATTCTAGTATCAATATTAGATCGGCGGGTCCGAAGGTTGAAGACAAAAGATGTGGCTTCTGTTAAAGTATTATGGAGAAAAAAGAATAGGGAAGAGGTGACATGGGAAACCAAGGATGGCATGAGATCCAGTTATCCTCAGTTGTTTTAGATCCCGTAGTGGTAAAAATATCAATTTTTGATTAGCATATCTGAATAGAAAGGATTTTGAGTTCGGGAGAAGATATTCCGAAGACAACTCTTAAAACTAGATATGGGCATTTTGAGTTTTTGGTGATGTCTTTTAGATTGACCAATACCCCGACAGTGTTAATGGACATGATGAATAGCATATTCAGGCTGTATTTATTCATGTTTGTGATTGTATTTATTGATTATATTTGTGTGTATTCGCATTCAAAAGCTGTGCATGCAGATCATTTGCGAGTAGTCCTTCAGGTTCTTCGAGAGCAGGAACTTTACGCAAAGTTCTCTAAGTGTGAGTTCTGGTTAAGCTTTGCGGCTTTCTTAGGCCATATTGTATCAGATGCGACAATTATGGTTGACACACAGAAGATAAGGCCGTGAAGACTTGGCCTAGACCCATAACTCTGACATAGGTTCGTAGTTTTTTAGGGTTAGTATGGTACTACAGAAGGTTTGTAGAGAGATTTTCTTCCCTTTCAGCACCACTAACAAATCTGACTCAGAAAGCAGTTAAGTTTTAGTGGACTGAGGCGTGCGAGCATAGTTTCCGGGAGCTGAAGGACAGGTTGACATCAGCACCAGTCCTAGCCTTGCCAGAGGGTTCAGAGGGCTATCAATGTACTGCGATGCTTCTAATATTGGGTTAGGATGTGTACTAATGAAACATGGTAAGGTGATCACATATGCTTCAAGGCAGTTGAGGAAGCATGAGAAGAACTACCCAACTCACGATTTAGAGTTGGCTGCTGTTGTGCATACACTGAAGATCTGGAGACACTATCTATATGGCGTTCATGTGGACATTTAGACAGATCATAAGAGCCTTCAGTATATCTTCAGACAGAAGGAATTGAATCTTCGACAACGTCGATGGCTTGAGTTACTAAAAGACTACAACGTAGATATTTTATATCATCCAGGGAAAACAAATATGGTAGTTGAAACCCACAGTCATAGGGTAATGGGAAGTTTATCATATTTAGGTGTTGAGAGGCGTGAATTAGCTTGAGAACTTCATCAATTAGCCAACTTGGGAGTCAGACTAGATGAGGCAAGTGATAGTGGGATTATAGTTCAAAACTCAATTATATCATCTTTAATCGTGTAAGTGAAGGCACGACAACATGGGGATCCCTACTTAGAGCATCTCAGAGGCAAAGTTCATGATAAGGAGTCGTTAGCCTTTGATATAGCAGGAGATGGAGTGCTCAGACATAGAGGTCGATTGTGTGTTCCAAATGTCGTACGACTTCGACAACAGATTATGGCAGAGGCACATCATTCCTGATATTGTATCACCTAGGATTGATGAATATGTACCATGATATTAAAGAGATATATTTGTGGCACGGGATGAAGAAGGATGTTGCTGAGTTTGTGGCACACTGTCCTAACTGCCAACAAGTGAAGGTTAAGCACTAGAAGCCTGCTTGGCTAGTCCAGGATATAGCCATTCTTTTATAGAAGTGGGAAGTGATGTTCGACGTAATCAACTGACACTATTTCGGTTCTAGTACCAAACGATCGCGTGTAGTGATATAACCCAACCAAGGGTTGGGATCGTTCTAATAGGGAGTGATTTTGAGAATTAATAGAAATATAAAATTTAGTTCTAATTAGTCATAGCTATAAACATTATCGAATATAAACATACTAAATCTAAGAGGTGATGCAAGTTTCAATTATTAATGGTGGTTTGTATTAGCTAACAACTAAAAAGAGCAAAATATAAGGAAATGAGATATGAAGACGGGATTCTTGGGATGTTATAGGAATATGGGATAAAGTAGACTATCGAGTACATGCTTTTGATAGTAAATTGTTGAACATTTGTGACTAGGCTAGACGATAGTAGGGGTAAATTCTCTCTCGAGCAACTTACCCCGAATCAACTCG